AAATTATAAATAGTCAAATATTATTGGTAAGGTTATTTATTTACAATTAGTAGAGATGACAATCATATACGCGTGTTTAGTGAAAACGTCACAGGTTGAGGAAGGTCATAGTACTGGATGCCAACAAAAGAACCATACTGTCAATTGTTATTAATGCCCATTATAATAACACAGCGGATAATGAAATTATTAAAGCATAATTTTAAAAATTAAAGCAATTTAATTATTTTACATATTAGAGCGTATGGACGGTAAGGTAATATTGTGTATATGTTTCTTTATCGATTTCATATTTTTTTTTAAGAATACTATTCATTTGTCTTCGATTTGAAGAATTTTAAACCAGCCTACTTAAATCGTGGCTTTTAAAGCGGATATAATATAATTAATTGACACATTCAAAGCATATAAACGATAAGTTGATGACCTTTACATGTAATTCTACCGATTTTATATTCTTTTTTTCAGGAAAAATTCTATTTCAGCGATTTGAGAAAATTAACCTTATTCCTAATTTTGAGAGTGAAAATAATTTAATATTTTCAAGGTGAATCAATGCTTGGGTCCGTCTTGAAAAGAAGCAGGTGATACATATATCGAGGACCATAAGACAGCATCTCCTAAGCAGCAAAATTGACGTTTTTCAGTTGAAAAAAATGTTTTACGTTTAGAGCAATCCATTTTACTCTACTAGTATAATAGTACTAATATTTACACATGTTTTGGTAAAAATATGTAATACTTCCACTATACATTAGATGGAGCGACATGTTTTAAACGATATTATCATAAAATATAATGTTTAGTGGAAATGTTAGTTACGAGGTCCTGCATTGTAGCCCTCGATATACGTTATTGTATGTTACTAGGAAGTAGAATGTGAACTTTAAGTGTTGTGCTTATGGAATCAATAGCATATTTTGATCCTTTTGAAGAAAAATAATTTTTTATTTAGATTATGTTATGATCAAAGCTAAACACTATTAAAAATGAGAGAGGAGAGGCCAGAAGAAATGATAAGAACTATGCCTCTGCATTTTTCATATACACATATTTGTGAAAATTATATACTAAATATTCAAAAGTTTACTTTGTTCTGCAAGATAAATAAATAAAAATTTAAAGCAGTTTTATAATATAATAATACAAATTATCAAATATTTGTGTAGTAATATATAATAATTTAGTATCTATTAAATTTTAACTATTTGACAGTGCATTTTCAATAATAAAAAAAAGTATCGAAAACAGCCGATATGAATTTGTCAATACAAAATGTATGTACAATGTTTAAATTAGGATCCCATTCAGCCTCTACGGATTATGGCCAAACAACCCAAACAACCTTGAATCAAACATAAATAACAGATATATTCCATAAAATATAAAAACGACCTCCTATAAAGTACCCCAGATTCTCCGACTTTGTCCAAAATCTAATCATTTAACTTCAGGCCGAAAAAAAATTCTTTATCCGTTTTTGAGTTTTCTTCAAAATTTCGAAATTTACACATTATTTCAAATATCTTGAAAACGGTCCATTTTAGAGAAATTATGTATAAAATAAAAATTATAGAGAATTATATTACAAACAACTTTTATTTAAATAATTTTTATAAAAATTAATTTTTTTACATTTTGTCAAATTTCTCGAATACGGACCATTTTAGGAATATTTTGTATAAAACAGAACTTATAGATAATAAACAACGGGAAAAATAATTAGCTTCGCTGACGATACCGCCATATTCTATTCAGCAGACTCGTGGGAAAATCTGAAAAATAAAGCTGAGCTAGACCTAAAAATAATTATAAAATGGTTTCAAAGTAAGATACTTACCATAAATTTTGAAAAAACATTTTTCATACCCTTTAGCAGCTATATAAATAGTCTACCTGAATATGAAATATTAACAATATCAGATGACACTGTGTTAAGTCGCTCAAGTAGCCTCAAGTACCTAGGTATTACAATTGACTCGCACTTAAGGTGGAATATGCATTTTAAAAATGTCTCTAGAATATTACGAAGTCTACTATATAAATTTAGATACTTGAAAAATATCCTAAACATAAGTCACCTAAAGATGGTATATCATGCACTAGTAGAGTCCAGAATACAGTATGGTATTCTAGGTTGGGGTGCTGCTGCGAAAACATATTTAAATCCAGTCAATATTCTTCAAAGAAAGATATTGAAAATTATTTACGGCAAAAAAAATATTTTTCCGACGGAAGTACTGTTTCAAGAAGCAAGAGTTTTAAACCTACGAAAACTGTATGCTTATAACTCCGTGGTTTTTCTTTATAAAAATAAACATTTAATAAAAGGACTTGAACACAAGTACTTAACAAAAAACAAGGAAAAAGGGTGTATCCAAATACCCTTATTTAAAAAAACCATAGGTCAGCGTTCACATCTACATATGTCTCTAAAGATTTATAACTTCCTACCTGAAATGTATAAAACATACATATGCATATTAAACTCGATAGGTCTAATTAAATCTATATTTAAAAATTTTTTTATTCATTATGATACTAAATCAATAGAATTATTGTTTGCAGTATGATCTAATATCACAAATGATGAGTAACAATTTATCATAAAGTTAAGTATTGGTATCGAGCATTGCCTTACAAAAAAAAATGTTTTAATATTTCTTCTTGTTTTACCTATTGGTTTGTCATTTCTTTTTTATAATTTATTTGAAATTTTAAAGTTTACTTATTGTGCTTAAAACCAAAATTGTGTTCTTGTTAAAATTGATTTTATTGATATTTTAATTGTATTTTCTTTATATTTAAACTGTTTTTTTTTTAATTGATATTTTAATAATTGTTTTGTTTTTGTTATTGATATCTTAATTTCTATATTTAATTATTTAGATAATAGGACTTTATAATATACTTATAATATACGTATAAGGTGCTACACTCTAGTTAAAATAAATTAAATCGATTATTTTAATAAACTATAAATGCCCATGCACAGCCAGTAGTGGCTCTAATGGGCTTGTCTACCTTTTGTTTATATTTGTCTAATTACCATACTATATTATTGATAAATGAATGTACTTTTTTGCAAAATAAACATTATTATTATTATTATTATTATTATTATTATTATTATTATTATTATTATTATTATTATTATTATTATTATTATTATTATTATTATTATTATTATTATTATTATTATTATTATTATTATTATTATTATTATTATTATTATTATTATTATTATTATTATTATTATTATTATTATTATTATTATTATTATTATTACAATATTAAAAGTAACTCTTATTTAAAGAATTTTCTTCTGTATATAGATTTGTTGGGCCCTTTCTTAATCTCGTCTTTGATCGTCCAACACATCGTGAAACTGTCAATTTTTATATAAGTACTGTTACTGTTACCCCATAACGCAGTGTTATATATACCCTTCTAGATCCTAGAATTTACCCAGTATGGAGTCCCAGAATTGTCACCCCACCGGCTAGTTTATTGTAGGCCGCATTTCGTCCAGTAAGGAGTCCCAGAACTATAACCTTACCAGCAAGGTTCGGGTACGTTACCTGTAGAGGTAAATTACATTTCATCCTGTTCCTGTTAGGAGTCCCAGAACTGTATCGCAGGATTAAAGTTTAAGCAATCAATTAAAGTAACTCATAAATTGAAAAATTGTAGTTTATTAAACTGAGTTTTATTTAATAATTATAATCCATGTAATTAATACTAGTTAAGTGATATACAGTGTGTGTTCCATAAAGTTGCATCTGTTTATTTAAAAACTTAAAATAGCCTATAATATCAAAGTTGGCTGCTGGCACTAGTTTTTGTCAAATTCGCATAAAAAATTTTTTTAATGAATTTTCAAAAACATACTGGATTTGACAGATAAATAATGCAGTACCTAGCCAACTTTAATATGGGCTACTTTAAGATTTAAAAAAAATTACAGTTGAATGTCCTACTATGTTTTTCCAATTGCAATGTTAAAAAAAAGGCCCATATGGATCCAACTTTATGAAATCCTAGTTAGTATTTTTTAAAATTTAAAAATTTTTTTTTATATAAGTTAATTTCGTCAAAATTTCAATTTAACAAATATTTATTTGAAATAACTCATACTCTGTGACTGGACATAACTATTAAATCTATTAATTATTTAACCATTATTAATAATTTTCATTATATAAGAAAAGTGGATAGCTTAATATACTTAGGTACTAAGTGATCGATAGAATCTATACTTCAACGATTTTTCGTTATGCTCACTTGTCAGTCAATATACTAAGTCATTTAAATTCTGTTGTTTTATTTACTGGTTTGATAATATACCTTCACAGGTTTTCTTAATTTTCATAACATCAAGATTGAGTAACGCTAATTTACGTACATGAACATTTGGATGAATAATAATATTAGGCTTCAAAGATCTGCCTAAATTGTCAAACTTTACGACCCACAGCTCACCAAACCTAGGTAGCTGTCGTTCACATAATATTTAAATTAAACTTAAATTATGAATTTAACACTAACACCGATCATTCATAATAAAAAGTTACAAAATATGTAGCTTAAGACATAACAAATCTAAAGAATAAAAATTAAAAATTATGAAAATTCCAATTTAAAAAACGCCAAAACCTACATGCGAGAAACTTAAAATTGCCCTTGATTTTGTTGTAGAATTTAAAAATATAATAAAACAACGTTTGATACTTATAGGACGTCCTTTATAAGTTAAAATATGTTTTTGTTGTGGCCTTTATCGATATTTGCTTCCTGTAGAAAGATATTTAATTAGTTTGGGAGATAGTCAGATACGCTTATCGTAAACCACCAGCGAAAAAAAAAATTAACACGTTTTGCCATGCCCTGGAATTGGCTCTTCTCGCAGACTTTAAGAATTTTGGTATATTCATCTCCGAACCCATTTTTGAGCATTCCTTTAACTATGCTATATATCATATATATGAAATAATACTCACCTAACGCTGAGCGGATTCTGCGAAGTCCTCTCCCAGTCCGTGTATTCGTTTTTCAGAGTGGAAAATATTTCGTTTAGATGATAATAGTATGCGTTCCGAACATAAGTCCTCAGAATGCGATCTCGTTTCGTCTCGTTGAAGCCGAATTCCAGATCTTGTGCATTGAGATCCAAATACGATTCGGTGGAAGTGAGACCGAACAGCAAGGATCTGTCCGGAAAGTCGGCCAGCTCGAAGCCTTCAGTCGTGGAAATAGTCGGCGCGCCGATGTTCGTCGGCACTGACGTCGGATTAACTAGAATTGTGCCGTCGATGAATGGAGCAAAGCCTGGAAAACAACAATTATAATATCTTAGAGCTTTGTTGAATGGATATTCTTGTTAGTTAATATATTAATTCTCTGTTTTATGTTAATATTATTTTTATTTTATATTAAAAGAACAATAAATTTTTTTTCTCGATTATTAGAATCATATCTACCACGAATACTCTAAAATCAAGTCAATAAAAAATGCTGGCGCTTTACAGGGAAGTGTTCTTGGACTAGTATTATATTTATTACACACCTATGATATTCTAGAGATAAAATAAATATAATTGGCCACATTTACTGATGATGTAGTATCGTAACAATAGGATCAACTATAAATAAAATAACAGATAATCTTCAAAAACGAAATCAATAGCATGTAAACCTGGTCTAACCAGTAACACCCACAAAATTAAAATATTTATATATTTTTGGTTTTCAAAATTTATAAATTTTATAATCAATGTTTGATGGGTAAGGTCGTTCTTAAAAATTGGAAATTATAATAATAATAATAATAATAATAATAATAATAATAATAATAATAATAATAATAATAATAATAATAATAATAATAATAATAATAATAATAATAATAATAATAATAATAATAATAATAATAATAATAATAATAATAATAATAATAATAATAATAATAATAATAATAATAATAATAATAATAATAATAATAATAATAATAATAATAATAATAATAATAATAATAATAATAATAATAATAATAATAATAATAATAATAATAATAATAATAATAATAATAATAATAATAATAATAATAATAATAATAATAATAATAATAATAATAATAATAATAATAATAATAATAATAATAATAATAATAATAATAATAATAATAATAATAATAATAATAATAATAATAATAATAATAATAATAATAATAATAATAATAATAATAATAATAATAATAATAATAATAATAATAATAATAATAATAATAATAATAATAATAATAATAATAATAATAATAATAATAATAATAATAATAATAATAATAATAATAATAATAATAATAATAATAATAATAATAATAATAATAATAATAATAATAATAATAATAATAATAATAATAATAATAATAATAATAATAATAATAATAATAATAATAATAATAATAATAATAATAATAATAATAATAATAATAATAATAATAATAATAATAATAATAATAATAATAATAATAATAATAATAATAATAATAATAATAATAATAATAATAATAATAATAATAATAATAATAATAATAATAATAATAATAGAATAGAATAGACGTTTATTGACCTCTTTCATACAATCTAGGTACATTGAAGTCTTACAAAAAATATAAAAAATACAAAAGATTTAAAAATATATAAATAAATGTACATTTGCGTAGAGAAACCCATAAAATCGATAATTATTCACAGATTTACGGTGCAAAAAAATTAATACTTTTAAAATAGTTTCAAACATTGAATTTTTAATTTGTTTCTAGCCTCACACTCATAAATACATAAAAAAAAAATATAGACGTAGTCAAATAATATAAAACAGTTCAAATAATACAATTAAAATTAAAACAACAGAACGTCACAAGATTAAAATTAAAATAAAAATTAAAGTTTAAATTGTAAAAATTCGTCCACACTATAAAAACTGTTTTCTAACAGAAAAGTTTTAATAATGTTTTTGAACTTATTTTTTGTCATGTTTTTAAGATCGTTGTCTTTAAAAATAACAACTAACTTGTTGTATATATTTAAGTTTAATTTATTGTTTTTGGTGAGACAGATGCGCGAGTACGGCACCACCAGTAGTTCAGATCCTCTTGTACTGTACTCATGGGTGTTATTATGAGTAGGAATATTCCTTACGTTTTTGTGAATTTCTAAGGCTGTTTGTAGGATAAATAAACAAGGTACAGTTAATATTTGATATTTTATAAAGAGTTCTCGGCAATGAGCTCGGTGCTGTGCGGCATCGACAATGCGTAAAGCTGTCTTCTGTAGGATAAAGATTTTACTAGCTGAAGTTGCGTTACCCCACAACAACAATCCATATGCAATGTGACTCTGGATTAACGCATAATAAGCCGTTTTCATGGCCTCAGTACTGGTGATGTTCATGCGCAGCTGTCTCAACACATATATTTGGATTGAGAGCTTCGAGCAGAGCTTCTCGATATGGTTTGACCATTTTAGACCGCTATCAAAGGTGATGCCCAATAATAATAATAATAATAATAATAATAATAATAATAATAATAATAATAATAATAATAATAATAATAATAATAATAATAATAATAATAATAATAATAATAATAATAATAATAATAATAATAATAATAATAATAATAATAATAATAATAATAATAATAATAATAATAATAATAATAATAATAATAATAATAATAATAATAATAATAATAATAATAATAATAATAATAATAATAATAATAATAATAATAATAATAATAATAATAATAATAATAATAATAATAATAATAATAATAATAATAATAATAATAATAATAATAATAATAATAATAATAATAATAATAATAATAATAATAATAATAATAATAATAATAATAATAATAATAATAATAATAATAATAATAATAATAATAATAATAATAATAATAATAATAATAATAATAATAATAATAATAATAATAATAATAATAATAATAATAATAATAATAATAATAATAATAATAATAATAATAATAATAATAATAATAATAATAATAATAATAATAATAATAATAATAATAATAATAATAATAATAATAATAATAATAATATGTTTATTAATTTTTAACCACATAATATAACACAGTATGTTTTTATCTTAATTAATAAACACAGTAATCCACTGAAATAACTTTTAGTTATTTGTGTGTGGTAAAATTAAAATTAACAGGAAAAAAAAGTATTAATCAAAGTTTAAATATGATAAAATAAATTACTTATTTCTAACTACATACTATAAATTTATATTGTATAAAAAATGTTTTAAATTACTAAACGCGCCGATCAGGTAAGTATACTCACATCTTTAACATTCCCCTATTTCAGTAATTTAACATAAATATTATATATATTTTTTATAAGGTACTTTAAAATTAGATTATATATTTACAATAATTTACATTTCTATGTATTTATGTATTTCTGTTCTAGGTGTAGTGTCCATGAAAATGTTTAATCTGTGTTTAAATGAGGACAGTGTTGAAGCCTTTTTCACAATTTCCGGCAGTGAGTTGAATGTTTTAGGTCCTAAATATTCAAAGTTTCTTTGACCAACTTTTTTATTTTTATATGGTAGTATAAATTGAATTTTTTGTCTGGTTGGGTATGGATGTAATGCTATTTTTAAATCAAATCTGTTGTTATATTGCGTAATAGCTAGTTGTCTGTAATACAATTGATTTATATCATATAGTTTTGTGTCAGAAAATAGTTTACAACTCGAATATTTTGGATGTACATTTAATATCAACTTTAAGAATTTTTTTTGTGACACTTCTAGCATATTGCGATATGTTGTTGATAAGCCACCCCAGCCTATGATGCCATAATTTAGATGAGATTCTATTAAACTCTGATACATAATTTTTTTTGTTTGAAATCAAGGAAAGTGGTAACTTGCTTGAATCTAAAGAGCAAGAATCCCAATATTTTTAAAAGATAGTAGATATGCTCATCCCATCTTAAGTGAGGATCTATTACAATACCGAGGTATTTAACTTTTTTTGTAGGTTTTATGATAATATTATCATTAATCTTTAGATCAAACTTTGGAAGAGATGATGCCAAACTACTGAATGGTAAGTATTCTGTTTTATTTATGTTTAGTAATAAAGCTCTGTGGTCAAACCATTTTTTAAGTCTTATTAAGTCTACTTCTACTTGTTCTTTTAACGAAAACCAATCAGAATTTTTGTAGAAAACTACAGTGTCATCTGCAAAACTAATGATTTGGACTCCTCGTTCGAGAAGAAATATATTATTTAGATATATCGTAAATAGTATTCGACCCAAAACTGTGCCTTGAGGTACACCACATTTTATTTTTTGTTCTTTACTAATTTGATTGTTTATTCTAGTATGTCGTCGGTTTGTTAAATAACTTTCAAAATACCTAAGTGCTGTGCCTCTTATACCTAAATCTTCGAGTTTTTCCAATAACATGTTATGATCTACGGTATCAAAAGCTTTACGAAGATCTATAAAAACTGCTAAAGATGGTATGCTATTATCCAAACAATTATAAATCTTTTTTGTCAAATTTAGTATGGCATCTTGTGTACTTTTCTTATCGCGAAACCCATATTGAGCAGAGGATAACAAATTAAATTTATCTAGAAACTGACTTAATCTATTTTTAACTACTTTCTCAAATATCTTAGCCAATGAACTTATTAACGAAATGGGCCTGAAGTTTTCTGGTTCTGTAATATCATCGCTTTTGTGAATTGGTGTAACTATGGACAATTTAAGAGCATCGGGGAAAATGCCTTGTTCAAATGATTTATTAATTAAGTATGCAATTGGTTCTACTATATAAGATACAATTATTTTAAGTGTTTCTGCTTTTAAATTATCATAACCTGGAGCCTTTTTGTTTTTTAGTTTAAGTATAATATTTTTTATTTCATCTGAATTTGTTGGAATTAAAAACATTGAATTTGTATTTGTTTTAACCTTTTCAATATATGTAGGATCTGCTTTAACACTTTTAGCTAAATTGACACCAATATTTACAAAAAAGTCATTAAAAATTTCACACATTTCTGATGGATCTGTTGTTAACTCGCCTACACTATTTTTTATATTTGTAATTTTTTTCGAATCTGGAATTTTTAGTATTTCATTAACCGTTATCCACATATTTTTCGAATTGTTTTGATCTTTGTTTATTTGCCCTTTGTAATAATTGATTTTTGCTTGCTTGATTTTTTTTCTAATTCTTTCTTATAATTTAGATAAGTTTGT